GCCTCAGAATTACAAATAAATTTGAATTGGTGACAATCTGTAACTAACTCGTAAAATGACAATTCCTAATAAAACGCAATCAACTCCTATTAAATACAAAATGCAATCAGCTCCTATTAAATACAAAACGCAATCAATCAATGCTTTCACGCACATTTGATATATTTAATCGATTAAATATAAGTTTTAATTGATTAAATCAATTAAGAGGGAGATTTAATCGATTAAGAGGGATATTTAATCAATTAAATCTTCAGGTCAACCACTTTTGTCAGTTTTGACCATTTAATCGATTAAATCTTCAAGTTAATCGATTAAAGAGGGGTAGATTGGTAGATAGTTTCGGATAAGGGGCGAAATTGTTATTAATTAATTAATGAAGGGCAAAAGGGTCAAAAAGCCTATTAGACATTCAACGATCAAAAGAATAACTAAAATATTATTATTTTATTATTCAAAATTATTAAAATAATAATTTTAAATTTTAAATTTTAAATAAATAATATGATATAGCTTGGCCTGTAGGCTTATATGCCCAACATGTACAAAAAAAAGTCTATGGCTTGTTTTCTAAATAGATTTTTTTAAAAGCCTAGGCTTGTTCTATTTTACTATTTATAATAGGCAAAGTCTGGCCTAATATAAGCTAGGTCATAGGCTCCTGTAGGCCGACCTACCCCATTTACACCACTAGGTACGAGGGAATGAATTTACTGTTATTAAAATTATTATTTTAAAAATTAACTCAAAAAGCAATAAGAGAGATATTAATATAGTCGTTTTTATGTGAAAAACTCAAAACTAAAAAAAAAAAAAACTATGGGTTGTGGTATCTAATACTAAAATTCGACTAGCAACTCTAATATGAAACTTGTATATAAGGAGCTCTCTAGTATCTCAGTTTCCTAGTCTATCCCTTACACAAATTTTCACATGATATTCCCAGTATAAAAACTGGTATCCAAATTTTTCAACACAGACCTTCAAAAAGGTCAAGAAGAAAATTACTACCTTGGTTCTTCTTCTCTTCAAGCATATAATCTGAATTCCTATGCAGTAATATGCAATGAGTCTTATTTATAATAATAACACTTTATCTCTCCTGAAAGCTAAGAGATATAAATTCGAAATCTTTTCAAAAACAAATCAGAAATATTTTACTCTTAAATGAAATTTTAAATGCAATTTACAAAAATAGGATTTCTAATTTTTTTCAAATAAAAAATATGTAAATCTTAAATATCTTATTATATTATGCAATGCAATTCTAATATAAATCTTTTGTAAAGAGTATTTTATTTTTCTTACATGAAATCTAAAAAGATAAAATATATCATAAACTTTACTTGATTTCATGCTTTTTTCTCTCTTCATGATATCTTTCATATTTTCTCAAATCTTCATGCAATCTTTAATCATCTTGAATAATATTAATATCAGAATAAATATTATTCTAAAATCTCAAACAATCATCTCATTAGTAATTCCAAGACAATAAATTATTATCAATTAAATTAATATTAAATTGATTGTAATCATCAAAATATATTTTAAATCAATTAAACAATTGGGTATAACAAATATCCAGTAAGATAAAGCTTTTTTCAATAGTATGACTTGTGTTCAATTGGCAAAACGGGCTTGGTCCGCCTCGCCCATAAGCAAGGTAGGTTGAGTTTGATAACATGCTAGCTCGCCTCGTCACTGGATTGGTTAGCCTCGCCTGTCCATCTTTTTTTTGTTTACTTTACATCTAACCTAACTTAACTTTTACTTAGGGGTTAATCTTTTTTATTTGTTTCTCCCAAATTAGTTCTCAAATATTTTATTTATTAGAATTGTCATATTTATTCATAAAATCATTGAAAAAGATGTAATTATTAAGTGCAACTATGGAGGATTTTCTAGTGAACAATGTTGTCAAAAATGATATTTTACTATGACTAATATTCCTAATATTATGTATAAGTAAGCTTGTACAAATAAAAATAATTTTTTAAATCTATTAAGAAAATCTCAACACATAGGTGGGTTGGCAAGAAGGACAGGTTATCCACTTTACCACCTTATTATTAGTTCTTAAAATGTTTATTAGTTATTGGTGACATTTGTAAATTTCAATATTTATTATAAAAAGTTAAAAAAAGGGGGTGTTTGATAATTCATTTAGAACATCAGTATATATATACATATATTTTGTAACTACTTATCATTTCATTATTTAGTTTATGAATAAATAAATTCACACAAAGAAAGATACCTTCTTTATTTGGATACAAATATTAGACTAAAATTTACGAAAAATAACTTAAAAAAAGAGAGGCATGCTTACTTGTATTCTTAAAATTGTTTAATAAAAATTGAGTTTCAATTCGTGTATGTTCAAGTGGAAACACCTCAATAGATTATGATGTTTTCGGGTCTCCTTCCAGGCAATTCGGTAATTGTTGAAGATAGTTCTTTTGTGCAATCTTGTAGAATAAAAGTAAAAAAAAGGAGTGAGAAATATGAACAAAATGCATACTGATCAGTCCAACACCAACTGGGCTGTGCCTAATCACACACAATTGAAGGTAGAGGATATTGACAAGGAGAAGGAGTGATGTTTGTGTTGCTACCGAGATGCTGGGTTGCTAGGCGAGGTAATATGATATGTTCCGAGATGGTTGAACAACACATTTGCATCTCTGGGCACTTTGCAAGCGATTGGGGAGTACCTGCAATGACATTGCGACGCTCAAATCAGTTTAATACTCAAAAAGGTTCAAATATTCAAAGTAAGATATCATACCTGGGCCAGTGGCCTCTGTATTTAAAGTGAGTCATTGCCTTGTTCATTGCCGCCTTTCATATGGTGGCGTTTATGTTGATTGGCGGAGAGGGGTGGTCTCTTTCAGTCGATTCCTTGATAGGCAAGCCTATGCATAGTAGGTAATTCAGTAGATAAGGCAGCAAGTTGGAGCTATCATCCTTTCACTGGTCCCTAGCGGTGGGCATCTTACTTGAGTTGTTGGTCCCAGCAATGATGGTTCTTTTCAGGTTAAGTTATGCTGGCATGGTGGCCAAATATGTAGCGAGATTCATGACCTACCTACGAGATGCTCTGCCTTGGTGACTATGTCGCATGAACTATTTGGGCCTTTTGAGCCTCTTTATAATTAGGCCTCTATAACAAGTCCAGATCAGAAGCCCCCGAGCTTGGTGCTTATGATGTAGGCATGAGGAGCGAAATGTAGTCTTTAAGCGAGATATGTCTTTCATGTGGAATGCATCCCTCAAATCTAAGATGTCATATGTTTCACTGGTAGCGAGATTCGTGCCACGTACCCCTAATACTTTATGCACTTGAGTAGGTTTTGGTGGTTAGTCATTTCGCCGCTTAATCAAGTGATTGATGTAATTTTAATTGTCAGTAGCATTAAATGCAATGTTGATTACATATGGATTTTATGAAATAACCTTTTGATCTTCGGCTAACACGGGTCCCACTTGTGGTAAAACCGTTTCATCTTTAAATGCTTTTACTTTTATGCCATTCAATTACTTTTCATATGTTTATTTCATTGGTTTTGGAGGGAATCGCTTATCGTTGTTCCTCAAACTAATGTTGTCAAAATCGAATTTCTATGTAGAAACGGAAGGGGATGATAGAAACGTAAATCGTAAAAACGACACGAAACGTAAAGTTTTTACTACTTAAAGGTCAAGATACAAAATATGAACAATTTCATATTTAAAAGATATAAGTCGTATAACTATACAAGACATAAGTCCAAACACATAAAAAAGAGCTTAACAACTTCTGCAACCAAGTTCCAAAACATCAAAAGAATAAAGTTTAATAACTTCTAAATTATATCAATTGATTCAAATCAAATACATTATTTTGCATCAGTTGCATGTCCTTAATGTTCTCTTCTCTTGCTCCTATAACAAGTTCATTTGCAATAAAATATAATAGATTGATTTGAAATCCACCTCAGTTTAGTATTCAAACTTTTCACTAGTGACTTCACCCTCTTCTTTCTCTGCAACAACGACTTCACGAGAGGTTTTTTTCTTCGAATAGCTAGAAAAAGATACTGTGCATTTTGATTTGGCGAAAATAGAAATAGTTTTTTTTTAAAGGTCATAGGTTAAAAGTTGACCCGATTCATTTTTTTTTGGGTAAACTAAAAAGAAGTACAATACAAGGACTTCCAAGGAGGTAACACTTTTATTTTCTTTTATTTTGCATTTCGAGTACTCTTCGGATGGCCGTTTCTGATCTTTTGTAAGTCTCTACATTTATGGTTTTCTACATTCCTGCATAAAGTAGACTAGTTCCTTTTCTGGAGGTTCTGGGTTCTGGATTTTTAAGTTTCTTCCCTTTCAAGATTTCTGGGTTTTCTGAGTTGTGTATCAACCTTTTAAAAAAAAGGTAGGATATTTATACTACCAAATTTTTCTACTACCACTCTAATTACTATTAGATTAGAGGAAAAGTTGAATGAAGAGAGAGAAAGAAAAATAACTTTTGAATCCAATGGTGATTAGAGTGGTAGTGAAGTGATAGTAGAAAAATTTAGTAGTATGAATATCCTACCTCTTTAAAAAAATATCTGACGAACATTATTTTTCCGTTATTTTTAGAAACACGGCTGAACAGTCCTGAAACCAGGCCTTTTCCTGGCCCTAGGATGTCCAGGGCACTACACAATTTGGAGTGGTGGTTAACGAGTGAGGGTACCTCGCCAAGGGAGGGCCAAAAGAGTAAGGCTAGAAGTAGAAGCTGAAGGGTCGCGTACACCAAAAGAAAGTTAATACTTAATTCACTCGTTTACTCTGCAACATCAATTAAAAAAATCAGTAAGTACCCTGAGAGAGAGGATTTCAATGTGAAGATGAGCAAGGGGAAGGAACAATGAAAATCCACAACAAAAGAAATAAATAAAAGAAAAAATAATGAAGCAAGATGAAGATGCAAGCATATAATATTGATCCCAGTTAATAGCTATGGTTGTGGATAATGCTATTACCACATTTCATTACCCATGAATTGCAAACACAAACCTACTGTCAGAATGTACCTCCTCCTTTTATGACATATTGAGAAAAGCAATATAGAATTTGTTTTAATGTTACCATGATCTAGAAAATTTCAGATTCACAATAAAATTGCTTTCACTGCTATTAAAGACTAGTAAATATACACAAGGGATTTCAGTTTTATAGAAAAAAGACTGCCAAGGTAAAATTGAAATGAGCTATTCCACACATTGAGATTTCTGCAGAATGGTTGACAGCACATCCAAATCCAATGTGAACTGCACAAATAGTGCAACGATGAATGTAGCTCTAATGAAGCATAAGAGTATGTAGTGGTCATCAGAGACATTCCTTAGTTCATAAGCCATAATTAATCTACTTATCACCACCTCCAAACATTCCCATCATGTCTTTAGCAGATCCCATCTGCTTCATCAAGCTTTGTAACCCACCCATGCCTCCAATTTGCTTTAGCATCTGCGGTGGGAGGACTTTGCTCATGTGCTGGGCATTCATATTTCGGGATAAGGCACTCATGTCGCCCTTCTTTGGTATTTTAAGCCCTTTCATTTTGCTCCATATCTTTGCAAGACGTTTATACTCTTCCAACATCTCCATTACTTCCCTAATTTGACGACCAGAACCTCGAGCTATTCGCATCATACGGGACTCATTCATGAGCTTTGGGTTTGAACTATCCAACTCTGAAACATACAAGTAATTAAAGGTTAGCAGGTGAAGGAATGCCATTTCAATACAAACAATGAATTCCGTATTTATAAAGTTGACGTTCTAAAAGAGCCAAAACATAAAAATAAAACAAATTCCAATGCTTGCCTTCGTTTGTCATTGAGTCCATCATTGTCATGTAACGTTTAATTTTTGCCTGGCTTTCCTTCTCACGGCCTTTCGGCATTAATTCAGCACTAAATCCCGGTAGCATAGAAAATACCTACATAAATCAACCAAGAAAAAAAAAAGAGTAGCCCATCGTTACACAGGTACCAAGCAGTTATTCGTATCTGTTTAGTGCATCAAACGTAAATTTCTGAAATTTTAGTGTATATATAATAAATTCAATAAACTTAATAGAGAGGTAACCTGGCCGATAGGACCCATTTTAAGTATGTTCTGAAACTGCTCATACATAATCCTCAAGGTGAAGTTTCCTTCGGACAGCTTTTGAAGCAGTTCAGGCTGTTGATCCATGGGAACAACTTCTTGAATTTTGTCCATGAACCCAGACCAGTCTCCCATGCCTAGTTCAAAAGTCATTAGACATGACTAAAGATTAATTTTTAAGGGAACTGGTCAACTGGCACATCCATAACATATAGTTCAAAAAGTGCAGCCAAATTTTATACCTTATTGTATCTTTTATTTGGGGGGGGGGGGGGGGTCCCTTTATTATTAACAATTTGCTAAATTTATTTCTATTTTTTATATTTTTGTTCCCTAAAGTAGATTATCTTGAGCCGCATATACATTGCGGCTGGCTAAACTAAAAAAAGACTATTTCAAAAACGAGTCAATAACATATAGTTCAAAAAGTGCAGCAAAATTTAAAACACACGTCAAGACAAAAACCATAAAGTACACACCTAATAGACGACTAACAAAAGGTTTAACATCAAAAACTTCAAATTCATCCATGTGTTCTCCAGTCCCAATGAATATGACAGGACTCTTTGTTGCTGCAACACTGAACATACAAAATTAATAAGACTAGATTCACAAAAGATATAATAATAATAAGACTAGGTATTCAAACCACACACACACACAACTGAACATACAAAATTAATAAGACTAGATTCACAAAAGATATAATAATAATAAGACTAGATTCAAACCACACACACACACATATTTACAAAAGTTGATATTAAATCATATAAATATAATACAATTATTCTGGTAAGCAGAAACACTTACGCACTAAGAGCACCACCACCCTTTGCATGGCCATCCATTTTAGTGACAATGACAGCTCCAACTGCAACACTCTGTTTAAATGCTTGAGCCTGATCAAAAGCAGCCTGACCGATACTGCTATCCATAACAAATATAACAAGATCTGGTTTCTGAACAACGCAAACAAAAAATATTAAAGATTATTGGCTTTTGGAAACAGACATTAATGCATACAGTATCCACAGAAAATACCGTTGCTTCTGCAACTTGGCGCATTTCTTCAAAAAGAGCAGCTTCTTGTTTGTGTCGCCCACTGGTGTCAACAATAATAAGATCACAATTTTCTTCCTTGAATCTTTCAACACCTTCCACAGCAATTTTCACAGGATCTGACTCCATATAGCTACAGAGCAATGGGGCATGGCAACCAAACAATTACTTAAGCATTAAGATCATAGGCAATGAAATGCAAATAATATAAAAGCAAAGAGTGGTAAAGACAATAGAAATGATAGAATATGGACTCCTCCCACCATCCACCAAATGAAAAAAAAAAAAACATAATCATAAGATAAATGCAAATAGATCCTTGGGAGAAAGAAAAAAGAATAATACTTTGTTAATTATTGGTTTCCTGTTTGTTTTACATTGGTAATACAATATCTTCCAAAGGAACAACAATGGAGCATGTCTATGAGAAAGATTGTAATCACTCACCAGCCCACAATGTTTTTAATTGGCTATTAATTTCCTTTTTCCTAAGTTTCTTTTTCCCTCTTTTTCCGTAGCAATCTTATGCTTCTTTTAGTGAGAAAGAACAAAAAAAGTGAAAACAAAAGAAAGTGAAAACTAAAGAATGTACTTGAAAGAAAAGGGTATTTGAAATATTATTGAATTGTGTAAATAATCTGTACAAAGAGGTCTCTATTTATAGAGAATGAAAACCCTAATACTTGACCTAATTCTTAACCTAATGGGTTTGGCCCAATACAACAAATACTAATAATAATAATAAAAAAACAAATATTTACAACACTCCCCCTCAAGCTGAGGAATAGATATTTATCATTCCCAGCTTGCTAGTAAGTTCTTCAAATCTGTCTGAAGGAAGTCCCTTTGTCAATAGATCAGCTAATTGACGCCCAGTGGGAATGTATGGAGTGGTAATCAACCCGCTATCAAGTTTCTCTTTGATGAAATGGCGGTCGACCTCAATATGTTTAGTCCGATCATGTTGAACCGGATTATGAGCTATACAAATAGCGGACTTATTGTCACATAGCAGCTTCATAGGTCCCTCACATTTTATTTTGAGATCATCAAGTATAATTTTCAGCCACAGTAACTCACAAATGCCTTGAGCCATAGCTCGAAATTCAGCTTCTGCACTTGATCTGGCGACCACATCTTGTTTCTTACTTCTCCATGTCACCAAGTTACCGCAAAGAAACATGCAGTAACCAGTGGTAGAACGACGGTCAGTCACGGATCCAGCATAATCAGCATCAGTGTAAACTTCTAAAGAGAGATTGCCGTCACGTCGGAATAACAATCCTTTACCAGGAGTAGCTTTAAGATACTGCAGAATTCTCTCTACTGCTTGCATGTGTTTCTCCTTTGGATCGTGCATAAACTGACTGACAACACTAACAGCATAAGCTAGATCTGGTCTAGTATGAGCCAGATATATCAATTTCCCAACTAGCCGTTGATATTGTCCTTTATCAACTGGAGGACTCTCTTCTTCATAGCCTATCTTGTGATTCTGTTTAATAGGAGTATTAGAGGGTTTACACCCGAGCTTTCCTGCTTCTTTGAGAAGATCAAGAACATATTTCCTCTGGCTAATAAAAATTCCTTTCCTTGAATGAGCTACTTCTATCCCTAGGAAATATCTCAGTTTCCCAAGGTCTTTGACTTCAAACTCAGAGGCAAGCCGTGTTTGCAGAATCTGTTTTTCTACAAAATCATCACCTGTGATAATAATATCATCAACATATACAAGGAGCACAGTAAGCTTCCCATTATGGGAGTGCTTGAAGAAAAGAGTGTGATCTCCTTGACTCTGTCTGTATCCTAAGGTCATCATAACCTTAGTAAACCTTCCAAACCAGGCACGAGGTGACTGCTTCAATCCATACAAGGCCTTTTTTAATCTACAAACTTTATTTTCTCCCTTCACAGAATCAAAACCAGGCGGGATTTCCATGTAGACTTCTTCTTCTAACTCACCATTGAGGAAAACATTTTTCACATCAAATTGATTTATATCCCAATTGTAATGGGCAGCAAGGGATAACAAGACTCTCACCGTATTCATCTTTGCAACTGGAGCAAATGTTTCTTCATAATCAATGCCATAGGTTTGAGTATAACCTTTGGCAACTAATCGAGCCTTGTATCTCTCAAGAGTTCCATCAGAATTATATTTCAGGGCATAAACCCATCTGCACCCTACTGCTTTCTTTCCATTAGGTCTATCAATAACCTCCCATGTTTTATTTTTCTCCAACGCATTCATTTCCTCTTGCATGGCTTGAGCCCAATTCCCATCTTTCAAGGCTTCATGTACTGATTTTGGGATTGCAATAGAGTCTAGTGCTGAAACAAAGCTTTTGTGCTGCACAGAAAGATTAGCAGAGGAAACAAAATGGGAGATAGGGTATTGAGTACAAGAGGGACAGGAGGGACAAGATTTCTTGGCACAAGCTCTTTTCCCTTTTCTAAGAGCAATGGGTAAATCATCAGAATCAGTAGTAATGGGTAAGGCATCAGAAGTATTAACATCATGATTAGAAATATGAGATTCAGGACTTACCAGTGGTTCAGACGATTGAGGTTGCTGCTGAGGCAATGTGGGTTGTTTCCTTCTTTGATATACCAACTCAGGTGTCATAATCTTCCGTATCTCTGGTGTACTTGATGTATCAATCACAGGAGAATCAGTCACAGGAGGATTACTCACAGGAGGATCAGACACAGGAAGAACAGACACAGGAGGAACAGGACTAAGAGGAGGATACACTGACACAGGTAAAGGAGTAGACACTGAAGATTCAAACTCAAAGAAGGGAGGTGATGAGATTTCTGGTGAAGGATTCTCCCCCTGAAGATGAGGACCTTGGAAAAAAGACTCAGATTCCTGAAATGTAACATCCATAGAAACAAAAAATTTCCTACTACTAGGGTGATAGCACTTGTAGCCCTTCTTATCAGGAGCATAACCAAGAAAAACACATTTAATAGCCCTAGGGTCCAACTTACTGCGATGATGTTTATGAACATGAACAAAAGCAACACACCCAAACACACGTGGAGGAAGACTCATAATTGGAATAGAAGGGAAAAAAGAAATAGAGTGAATAGGACTTACATGGTCAAGCACACGAGTGGGTAAACGGTTGATCAAGAAAGCTGCAGTAAGAATAGCATCTCCCCAATAGTATTTGGGTACATGTGTCTGAAACATTAATGCACGAGCCACTTCAAGAAGGTGGCGATTTTTTCTTTCAGCAACCCCATTCTGTTGGGGGGTGTCAACACAAGTAAGTTCATGAATCATACCGTTATTTCTTATAAATTGGGAAAAACTGTGATTAACATATTCAGTACCATTATCTGTTCTTAGTCTCTTGATTTTTTTACCAAACTGGGTCTCAACCATTTTATAAAATTGAAAGAACAGTTGTGGTACCTCAGACTTTTCATGCATTAAGTACACCCAAGTTACACGAGTGCAATCATCAATAAAAGAAACAAACCATCTATTTCCAGAAGCATGAGGGACTTTAGAGGGACCCCAAACATCAGAATGAATAAGATCAAAAGGTTCAACACTCTTAGTAATACTAGAAGGAAAAGACACACGATGATGCTTAGCAAATTCACAAACATCACAATGAAAAGACTCAACAGACTTAGACAAAAACAATGACGGAAATAAAGATTTGAGTAAACTAAATGGAGGATGACCTAAGCGCTTATGATGAAGCCAAATCAAAGAATCAGCAGTTGATTGACCATGAGACATCAAGATGTGATCTGTTACTTTATTTGCAGGAGATTGTGACACCAGATAGTACAACCCACCATGCTCTTTAGCACTACCAATCGTCTTCCCCGTGGCGAGATCCTGAAAAACACAATGGGTAGGATAGAAGGTTACAGTACAATTCAAATCTTTTGTAATTTTATGAATCGAAAGAAGATTCGTGGAGAGTTTAGGAACATGAAGAACATCCTTAAGATGTAAGGACTGCTGTAAGTTTATGTCACCAGAACCCGCAACTGATGTATGAGAGCCATCAGCTACGGCTATTGTATGAGTTCCAATGGTAGGATGATAAGAAGTAAAGGAGTCAGCACAACAAGCCATATGATCAGTAGCACCAGAATCAACAACCCAAGAATGTTTAAAATCATTACATGAAGAAATGAAAGAATAAGTTTTGGAGCTCATACCAGTCATAGTCAAAGTACTAGTATCAGATGGCTTACTTAAAGAATCAAGGAGGGTTCGGAGCCGTTCCAACTCATCTGGACGAAATGCAGAATTTATTTTAGAGGAAGTAAAATGCTGTTGACCATGCATCCTATTCATCTTTTCTAAGACAGTTTGCTTTCCATGGAGGCGAAAGCATAGATCCTTGATATGACCTGTTCTTTTACAATAAGAACACCATCGATCATCTCTCTTAGGTTCAGAAGTTGCACCATCAGAAAACTTTGTAAAGGAACTCCTTTGAGAAGAGGCCATACTGCACAAAACTTGTCAAAGAATAGCACCAAGAAGCCAAAAAATCACAAACAAATACTAAACAACGTCAGATCTGACCGGAACAGTAACACAGCGGCCGAAACAGTAACACAGTGGCCGGAACAAATACCAAACAACGTCAGATCTGGTCGGAGGCAAGAAATTGGTGAAAGAACAAACTCCAAGAAGCCAAGAAATTCGGAAAAAAATACCAAACGATGTCCGATCAAAGTGGAGAGCACAGATCCAGAGCCGGCTTGGAGAGACGATCAGAACCGTGGTGGTCCGCGGCCGAGAACCACCGTCACGCGCCACGCGCCGGTGAAGCTGGCGGCGCGTGGGATTCACGCGCAGAGACAAGGGCGGCGCGTGGAGGCGCGTCTGACCTCCGATGGTGCTGGGTTTTTCAGGCAAAGGTCGTCCGGCGAGCGCGATGGTTTCTGTGGCTGTTCGGAGTGAAGAATCCGCCGGAAAAAGAGTCCAATCGCGATGAACAGGTTCTGTACGGTGGTTCTAAGTTTTGAACGTTGATTCTGTGAACGTTTTTTTTTTCTTGTTGTGTAATAGACAAGGAAAAAGAAAGAGGAACAGTGAAGCAATGGTCTTCTCGGTCCAAGAGGTCCCCGGAAAAAAATTTCCGGTGGCGG